ATCCATCAGGCAATTCCCTAAGGGGCTCCAGCCCCAAATAAACACCTCCCCAGTCAGAAAAAGGGCTGCATGCCATGGATGTTTGGCCCATAAGGGCCTTCCCTTACCAGAGGTGGAGTCTTTGCTGAGAAAATCCTGTAAATTAGAGTACAGTACAGTGGGGATTCAAAGCCTTTCAGGAAAAACTGCAGCTGTAATATGAAGTCTTCCTCCTGGGCAAGAGATGTGGGCAGTGGGGTTCCTACAAAAGATAAGCATTGCTCCTGGCTATGTATGGGGGATCACAACACTGGCGTGCACGTTACACAACTGGAGTGAACCAGGCCTGCTGAGGGTTGCCCAATTTCTAAATTCTAAGTAGCCTTTAAATTAAGTCCAGAGAGGTTTAATCCAGACCAGTGTTTACTGTAAAACATGTGAGTAACCCTGGGATTCACATGTACTATGTTCCCACTGAAAATGCTAGAAGCTCCAAAGCAGGCTGTGTGCTTCAAATGTCCTCAGTGCTAGTGAGGCTCTTGATTTTTTAAGCATCAGAATTTTAACTGAGCTTGCTGTGGTGTGGAGCCCCTGACAGCTAATTTTAGGTTGTGCTCCTGTGAACAGAATTGTGCCATTCTGATGCAGCGAGTGTGCAGTGTAGATATGGGGCATTTTATTACTGCCATATCACCTTATTATTGTCCCTTGAGAAGGAAACAATGTAGATTTATGTTTTGCTTTAATTTTTTGGTTGTTTTTTTTTTTTTTTTTTTCCCACCTGTTTATTTTTAGTGCAAAATTGTTCCAAATTATGTCAAGGACAGGAGAAGTTGAACTAAAACCATGATTGAAAGTGCTGCTGTCTGTGAGGGATGTTTCTGTGAACAAGAGCCAGGTATGTTCTATTGCACAACTCTAAAGAAATCTGTAGAAAGTGAAGTGCTGCCTCTGTTATCTCCAGACAGTCCCCATTCCAGCCCATCCTGGTGTGAAGAAGCTGGCTGTCAATTTTAGCAGCTGCAGGATCACATTCTCTGACATGAAACAGCCACATTCAAGAAAAAAACACATCTGTGTAAGGACATGAGCTAGCTGGCATAGTCCCTCCCCTTCCACTTTTGAAGAATACACAATATTCAAACGTTGAAATCACTTGCAGGTTTACATCCTCTGCTCAAGACATTTAACATCTCCCTGGGCTGTTTGCTTTTGGAGACGTACCCATGGCGTTTCCCAGAAATTAATTAACAAATTCACAACCTCTTTTGCTAGCCTGGGAAAGAGCAGCATGGATGAATGCTCCACAGATAAGGTTTTAATGTTGAGCTGACAGAGGTACAGGTACCTGACAGCTCTTGGAGATTAATTATGGAGCACAGCTTTCCCTGTTCCTGTCTGCGTGCCTGCTCCGAAGAGACAACTGTGTTTCCTTCCCTTTAATGAATGTGTGCTGTAATAACAGCTTGCAAATATTTTACCTCTGGAAGCAATTACTGAGTTTGTTTTAAAAGCTGAGCTAACACTGAAGACGTGTTTACTCTCCAAGTAGACACCCTGTATTTGAGCTATTACATTTCTCGTTACTATTTTTAAACCAGTGTTGTGAATGCAAGTTGCTTCATCTGCTACAGCAAACACCCTAATTTGTTAGTAAATTAGCAAAAGGGGAATCGAGGGAGAGGTTTCAAGAGCAAAACAATGCGTTGGGAAATCACCTCAATTCCAAATTCAATTAGAAGTGTGTGATGCTGCCAGACGTTGTGGAAGCCATAATGAGCTGTGCAATGCTTGAAGCCCCTCTGCTCCCCTCCCTCTGAATACTTCTGCATTCTCTGGTGCCTGCAGCTCCTGCTCAAGACATTTTACACTTTCTGGGCTCTTTGCTTGGGTTTATCACTTTCTGTCTCCTGTGGGAAAACAGTGGCAGCAGCCAAGGGCAAGGCTGGGACATGTTGGCCTCCACTGGCACTTTCTAAATCTTTTTATAGTACTGTAAACCTTAATCTCAAACAATCTGTACAGATTAGGGCCAATCTTCATTAGTCTGCTCTTGGGAGTAGCCTCAGACAGGTTTTCTTCTCAATTAATAATTGCCACAGGCTCTTATGTCAGGGATTACTGATTTAGTGGAGACCACCTTTGGAAGTGACCCCTGGCAGGCGTCTGAGCCACAGACAGAGTCACATTCAAGGGAAATTGTTCTTTTCTGAATATGAGGGAGCTTAGGAAGATGCAAACTGGACAAGTGAAGTTATTTCCAATTTTTTCTGTGTTATTTTTTCTTCCTTTCCTTGGGTGGGAAGCTTGCTATCAAAATGTTTCTGTAGCAATTAGGAAATGTAGGCAGTGTATCACACATCTTGTGTTCATGGCTCTCTGCATAAGAACTAATAACACACCTTTGAGAAGAAGGAGGCAGCATTATATCCACAATGGGTGGCATGGGATTTTGGGAAGTGGTATCCAATTTCCCCTCAAAAAATACTGTGCTACAACATCAGCAAAGTGTGGGAGGCATCAGAGCCACCTCCTCTCTGCCACCACCATGGCACATTCAAGGTCAGGTTGAATGGGGCTTTCAGCAAACTGATGTAGGACGTCCTTGCTCATTGCAGGGGCCATGGACTTCAAAGCTTCTTTACAACCTAAACCCCTCTAAGATTTTATGGTGCTATTTCAACTCAATACAGCCCTCTACCCCCATCCTTCCTTTGCTCCTTTCCCTTGTACCTCCACTGATCCTTTTTGCTCCATTGCTTGTCTCCTTTTGGCATTTTGGTGAAGAAAGGAAAAAGGTCAACAGATTGAAAATAGGGGTGCAGCTCCTCCTGTCCCTGGGAGCAGAAAGCCAGTGCAACACAGCCCTGGTTCTGTTTCCTTCCTACACGAGGGAGTTTTTTGGATTCCATCACACAGTAAAAGTATAAAACTGCCTCACTGTCCTAAAAAGCTGTATAAGAATCTGAAGTAATTTTTTTTTTCACAATGGAAGTTGATGGAGTTCTTCCCACCAAATTCACAAGCAGCAGGACCAAGTCTGTACAATTAAAATGGGAGCTCCAACATCAAAGGCAGGCAAAGAAAGGGCACAGCATGAGCTCATGGGATTGTTTACTATGCAACTGTGCTCTCCACATTTTTAAACCTTTTGCTTGGTTTAAAAATGGTTGGTTTTTTCCTTTGAACTCCAAGCAATGTGCATGTTTAGGCACACTAAAATACATGATGTTTTCTAACAAACTACAATGCAGATTAGATGAATTCTTTAATCTCATGTTTTCCTCTTGAACACTGCAATCAACCATTTTATGCTCAGTTGGATATAAAATTAACCCAAGCACTTTAGCTTTTTTCAGAATGTTCTAAACTGTCTAATTTTAATGGGAATATGCCAGGGTCTTCTCATCCATAACGGTGAACATAGCCCAGATCTAAACAGAAGGTGCACAGCTACATTACTGTGAAAATACTGGGTAAGGTAGAATCACACAACATTTTGATGGATATTAAAGAGAGGCCACAATCACAGACACTTTTTTTCCAGGGAAAATGAACAACATGGAATGTGCTGGTGAATCTGAATAAACGACTTCTGAAGAAAAACCAGCTCAAGAAAATATTTTAAAGATCTGAAAATCTCAACAAGACCACCACTGACAATGTGAACCATTTGCAGTTACTGCTCCAGCTACTCTGCCAGTGACTGTCTCCTATGGGCAAGTGTTTTCCTTTAGCACATGGATAGTGTATGGTAAGAGTCAGAGAGCTCTTCTGTAAGATAAAGGTCTCAAAAGTATTGGGAAGCTTGTGATATCACAAGATCCTTGTGATACTGGGAGATACTGGGACACAGACCTTTATGTAATTTAGAGGAAGTGCTTTTAGCAACTTTATGACTACAATTTCTATAAATATCTGTTGTAGAAAAAACACAAGGACAAAGGAAGCTTTCTCAGAAAAACAATAAACTGTCATAGGCTGATTACACTTTGCAAAAACTATACTCAGAAGCTTTGGTTTATATTTTGAAGAAATAACCTGCAACCTTCAGATCCTACTGGGCTAAACTCTGTTTTTCTAAAATCTGCCTGTTTCTGGATTCCTCTTCTACTATTAAGTCCTTTTGATTCTTTTCCTGGGCAGGACTAATACTGTTTTCTTGTATTTCTTGGAATAAAGTTTGACCCTGGGCAGAACTGTGGCCTGTGTAATTTCCCACATTTTGGACTTTTGGGAGCAGGTTTTTGGGGACAGGTGTTTCACAGTGCTTAATGCAGCTGCAGCCTTTTTCCAACACCCAAGTAAACTATAAAATGCTCTCAGCTTTTCTATAGTGTTTCTGGAGGGCCCTGGATGGTAGCCATAAGGGCTGGCTTTGATTATCTGTGAAGGACTGTTGTGAAGATCGGTTTGATCCCCAGCCCAGACACCTGGGAAAATCTCTCTTCCCATCACACTAATGAATCACTGTGTTAAATATGACAAGTTCAAGGAACTTGTTAAAGGTGGAGAAGATAAAAAAATAGCATGTAATGACCAGGAGCACTTCTCCCAAAGTTAAGCAATAAACAAAGTAAAACGATTTGAGGTCTCCTTCTGTAATTTCAGAGTTTGTGTCTCCAGTGCTAACACCCCACAGGGCAGACTCTGAACCCTGTCTCTCCTCCCAGGATAAAAAAAGCTGATGACTCAGTTCTGAACAACCCTTCAGCCAACCCCAGCTCCTTCTCTCTTCTGGCTCCTCTAGTAAGCAGCCCCTTTCTGACCATTATTCCTCATCTTCAATCATTTCTACCCCATGACCAACTTTCCCCCTAAGATTCTTCTTAGTGTGATTCCTTCTCTCTCTTGTTTAATATGTACTTTCATGCCCTAAAGCTGCAAGCTGTGAAAGATCAGACCAGTCACTCCAGGCCTGTTTTGGCTTGGTGAATTGGCTCAGTTTTTTCTTGTGTTATAGTAATTGCATAATTTCCTCCCCTTTCTCATGTCTTTTTACTGTCTATTTTTTTTAACAGAAATTCTCCAAATATTAAGAACTTAAATGAAAATCCAACATCTTCCAGATGGCTTCCTCACACACAAAAATTAATCCACTTCCTAGGTGAAAGGCTTTGGTCTCCAAGGCTCAACTCAGATCTATCTGATACAAACCTCTTGTGTGAGGTAAGTTTCCCCTCCAACACTTGTGCTCATTTCCTGGAGAAGGCTTTTGTTTCCCTGGTCTGTGTTTGCTGTGTGGGCTACAACTCCTTATCAGTCTTTTCCTCCCTCTGACCTCCTGTCTTTTCAGCTTCTCTGGTTTGCATCTGTGCCTGGAGCTCCTTTGCCTTCCCAGATCATGGACTTTCTATTCTCCTGCTTTGGTATTGCCCCACTGCTGCTGGGATCAAGCTGTGCTCCCACATGCACGCTGTCTGAAATTGAGGCTAGAGGTTACTTTATGAAAACCAAGTGACTTATAAAATTAGACACTCAAAATTACAGGCAGTTATAACACATTTGTGACTGTTACAATTTCTTTTGGGAATGACTTGAGAGGGTTTTTAAGGCAGCAGGTGAATAGCTGGTACTTCAAAGACAATCATCATCCTGAAACTTATTGCAAAAAATTATCAGCATTTCCTACAAATGGCAAGATACATAGAACAGACCTCTGGATTAGACACCAACTCTTTTGTAAATGGTTTTACAGAAAGAAATAAAAATGGATACACAATTTAAACAAAAATGAATAGTAAATGTGGAGGTGAGAAGGACAAGGAGAAAAATGGAATGGGCAAAGGTAGATTAAGATGTTAAAAAAAAGCCCAATACACATGAAAGGTGACACAGCAGAGCAATAGGAGACTGAGGACTGCATAGGACAGTGCTGTTGTACTGACAAAAATAAGTAAGTAAAAGGAATAAAGATCTCATTTTCTAAGAAAAGAAGTCACCATGTAAAAATGACATAATGGCTCTTGGTTTTTTTTCTCCCTCCCTCCCTGCAAATGCAGTCCAGGAGAGTGAGATTACTACATCACATGCATCACATTTTCTCATGGAAGTTACAATGCTGTTACCAGATACTGCCATGACACTCATCCCACTACAACTTTCTTGAAGGACCTCATAGAGCAAAACTCCAGAGTGTAGTAAAATTAGGCATATTTGGTGTCTCTTTCTTGTCTTTGGTAGGGGTGAAATTCAACCCTCTGCATACTTTACGTGTCTCGTAATAACACCCACTCATTCATTGCAGAAGACGCATTCTATTGTCCTCCGGTGACATTTCCTTGGGATTACAGCTGGAAGATGTGTCACTGGGACTTCCCTCTGTTCCCTTGCTCTGAGCTGGACACTTGTGGCAGGTGCTGGATTGGCACCTGACAGAAACAGATACTCTAGGTCACAGCTTGCACAAGAGGAGACAGTTTAAGTGTCTGGCGTGTGTATGGCACCCATCACTGCTGCTCGAGCACGGGTTAATCAGTGCTGTCAAACAGCACTGTTCAGCACTCCTGCACTGGTAACACACTATTGTGGGACGACAGCCAAAGCTGAGAGAAGACTGCAGTTCTTGATTTCAGCCTTTTTTTACCTTTTAGAGCAGGAGAGAGTTGTGGTCATTACTGCAGGTCTGTGCCTCTACCTGCCCCTTTAAGGATGCCCTTCTGGCAATCTGAAGACTGTCCTTCCTGGGAAAAAGAAACAGAGGGAAAGTGGGACTGTGATAACCCATTAATAAACCCAGTCTGATAAGGAGCAGCTGAGGGAGCTTGGGGTGTTCAGCCTGGAAAGAGGGAGGCTCAGGGGGAATGTTCTCACTCTCTACATATCTCTGACAGGAGGTTGTAGCCAGGTGGGGGGTGCTTTGTTCTCTCAAGTAGAAAGTGACAGGACTAAAGGAAATGGCCTCAGGTTGCACTGGGGAGGTTTAGTTTGGGTATTATGAAAAAAAAATCTTCCCAAAAAGGTTGTCAAGCATTGGAACAGGCTGCCCAGGGGAGGGGTTTTGTCACCATCCCTGGGGATGTTTAAAAGATGAGTAAATGTGGCCCTTGCAGACATGGTTTATTGGTTGTGTGAACTTGGCAGTGCTGGGTGAAGGGTTGGACTTGATGCTCTCAGAGGTCTTTTTCCAAACTAAACAATTCCATCCTTCCATGCTATGATTTCAGACTGCAGACTGCCCAGCTCGTTGAGATCTTTACCATGACTGCTGTCAGCAGGACTCAGATTTGGCACTGCTAAGCTTGCTCTGGCAGCTGTGTGCTGTGTTGGAGTTACTCCTGCATGTTTGGACGTCAAAGGCAAAATGGGAATAGAGAAAGCCATGCTGTACATTGTATCAGCCTGTGAAGGTACACAGATGCCTGGGCCCTTTGTTTTCCATGGACTGGTAAGAGCTTGACCCTTGTGCCCAGGACTTCTAAAAGATGAATAAAGGGCTGTATACATACAGCACATGCACACATACAAACACACATCCGATATGTGTGTATATTAATACATGGACTTAGGGAACAATGTAACTAACTCCTTTTTCCTGCTACTAAAGCAAAACACTGAATAATAATCCATTACATAAAAGGAACAAGCTTCATCTTGAGAACTATTAATGTCACTTCTCTCCAAACTCCTCTATGATTGTTGTTCTAGAATATCATGGCAGTGCTCTCCCATAATATCTCTTTTTTAATTTCCAGTCTAAGCACATCCACCACCATTTTGTGTCTATTGATTCTGATTAGTGCTGCTTGTAAGCTTTAGTCATGAGCTAAATCTAATTCTGGATTGTCTCTACTGCACTGTTGATTTTGTTTGCAAGCAAAACAGAAGTTTAGCAGAAATTAAAGGCAAACAGAGATGCTGCAAAAGGAATTTGTATGATGGCCTTTGGTTTATCCAACTTTAGGCAAGTCCAAGGTGGTTGTGTATTTTCCCTCCACAACCATTAGAAAGATGATGGCACCTCTCCAGGGTTTTTATCACTCAGGCACTTATTTGAGGATCTGATGAACTGTTTCCCTTCCCTTCCCACAGATTGTCAAGTGAATCTGCATCAGCAGAGTAGCTGAAGCATGCACCTAAAAGCAGATGAAATGAACCTCTCCTCACTGTTTATCTTAAAATCCAAAAGAATATTCTAGTCAATGACACTTGGATTTTTTTGTTGGTTGAGAAGAAAAGGGATCACAGAGAAGTCACCTGGGATGTCAGAGAACTGTTTTAAAATAACTAAACTCCCTAAATCTGGTCTTTATCAACAAGTCATGAAACAAACATAAACACTGAAAGAAACCCATGGAATGTTTAAACCATTTTTCTTTCCCCAGAAGCAAGTGGCTTTTAGAATACTCATTGCACAAATTGCTTTAATTACAAATTGGAACAGGAATAAGTTTTGGAATTCTGATTTCACATGACAGAGCTCTGATTCTATGGTGAAAAAATTGTTGAAACAAGAAATTTCCTTCCTTCAATAATGTGCTGCTCTCTGCCCTTATATCAGACAAGTCTATCTTACAGGACCTCACTCTGAAAATATATGATCTTTTAGCAGACTAGTGTGTTTAAACAAAACTATTCTCCCTCTTGTTTGTGGGAAAATGTAATTAATGGAGACTGAGAGTTCCTGAATACAGCAGGAGCTCTGGAATAATATTAACATGAATTTCTGAAAAAAGAAGGAATTTGATGTGAAGGGCTGAAGCATCAGGACAAATTAGATAGAAGAAGATATGCTGATTTTCCAGTCTGGGCTGGAAATAACACAGATGGAGAAGTGAAAAAGAATAGGAAACATCGTGTCTGTAAACTCTTCTCTCAGTGGGTGTTTTTGGGAGAGTGTCAGTTAAAGGATTCAACTTTTGGTAGGATAAGTATGTGTTACCCATGCCCAAATTTATGGGTAATCAACTCACAAATCAGCTGATGAGTTAGTTAAATGTTGCTTCCTTAGAAAAAAACACTCAGGTTTGCAAATACCTTTGATGATACACTTTTGGCAACTCAGGGACATGCTGGAAAACGTTCCCCTGCACTGTCACACGTTCCCCTCTGCATTTCCCCATGGGCAAATGCAAGTCCAAAAATGCAACAAACTATTCCATATTAATTTCTTTGTGGTGTTTTCCTCTGCAAACAAAAAACTTGAAGTTCTTTGCACACTTATCAGGAGAAGCAGCAATAATCTCAATTCATCATCCCACTTAGAATGGGAATTCAGAAACATTTTACTTATCAGGCCGTAAATCCAATCTTCTGTTGGTGTCTCTAACTTCATTGGCTCTGAAAGCAGAATAGGAGCTGCTTTTCCCCCTTAAGGCTGAGATTTTGGTAACAGATAAAGTGGGAATACAGAGTCAAAATTTACACTTTTACCCAATGAGTGAAACATAAAACATATTCTGCTGCTTTTGTGGGAGGGAATACACTATGGCAAAATGAATAATCCCCAATACTTTAACATCTTAGGAGGGAAAATATAAGGCAATCAGGTGCTCCTGAAGTGCTCAGTCTGTTGTTTGGCTCAGTTTGCTGCCTCTCTAGAAAACCTGATGTGTATTCTTGGCAGCAGGCATCAGTGCCCCGAGGGAGAGGATATACAAGCCTGCAGGAATGTAGATAAACATCTAAGTTCTTACTCTGCATAACAACAACAAAAAATAATCAGTGAAAGCCTTCAAAGTGCTGCCAAGGGGCCCTTCTTCATAGTCACAAGTACCATACTAAGAGGAGAACTTACATTCTCATTGGAAATATTTAATATTTAATAGATTCAATCATAATTCTGACTTCTGTTGACAACAGAAAAAAATAATCTATAGGGTTTTATTTTTTCTGGGGCCAAGCAGGGAGAAATGTGTACTCTTTCTAGCACTGGGCAATGTTTTCATTGTAGTAATTCCTAATGTTTTCATCAGTTGTTATTTACAAAATAACTTTCAGAACCAAAAATGCAGGAAACATTATTTTGTCAAATTTAGTAGCTTGTTGGGAATAATTATACACTTCCCAGAAGCATCTACTGAAGCATTTACTCTAGAAGCACACATAATTCAGCTGGTATAACTGAAGGTGAGGGTGTGTAATTGTCAGGGGAAATAGTGTTTTATTATAGAATTTTCTAACAGAGGGTATTTGGTCAACTCTGGCAATTCTACAGATGTACAGAATGACTGCCCTTTGGGAGTGCTATTTATAAACTCAAAAGCGCCTGAACAGCACTCACAAAAGGCTGCCGGTTTCAAGAAAATTAATGACAATCTGACATTGTTGGAGGATGAAGAGAGAAGAGGCTTTGTGCTGAGTTTAAGGCACGAAGTGTGTTTGCAGTGCTTTGTCTTGGCCTCTCTGTGGAAGCCTGGGGTATTGATGGGAATACCCTGCTCATGGCATTGTCAGTTTAGGCAGATCAATACAGGAAAATGTAAACGTACAGGTAACCTCACATCCCTTTCTCCTAAAGGCTCCCTGGAGAAAACAGTGTCTTTGTGTCCTGGAGCCTTCAGGGTGTGTCTTTGCTGTACTTCCATTAAAAAACAATCCATAACAAAACCACAAAACCCACCCCACAAGACAATCACACCCAAAATAATTCTGAGTGCAAGTAGTTTGTGCAGAGTTTCTGCAACTAATCCAGCCTTTTGGTGATAGATTGGTTTTATTTGGAATGTTAAAAATTCCAGTCAGACATAGTTCAATTACAAGTCCACACTGCTCTAAAGACTAACAATTCCCTGCTTTAAATTTTCCCAACAGATGTCGAAGCTAAATTTACTGAGCACAACCATCAGATGAGCACCAGAACCAGCACAGGAGTGAGAGAGCCAGAAAGAGAAGTTCAGTGTCAAAGAGTGACACATTCCAGTGGCTGTGTCAGTGCCTTAGCTCCTGTTGGCAACCACAGCACAACTTCCAGCACAAAGGGCCTGTACAGGTATCAGTGACTGTCTTTGAAAAAAAAACAAACACTTTCAGTTGATACCATCATCCTGCCTGTGGCACAGAAATGCAGGCACATATGTAATGTGTGTGCATTTACTGTGATGTGAGCATTTATGTATCAAATGTTTTAATAAAACTCAGAGTTCTGAGCAAACTTGATATCTTCTGATCACTTCAAGTTGGGCTACATTGCTGTTACTGATGGAGTGAGGGGAAAATTACATTTCTAATGCGGTATGTTTTGTGGGAAGTTATCTCCCCAAAAAAAAGGCTTAGTATCCTGCTCGCAGAGCATGTGTGAGAACGGTTACAACAACAAGCAGCTTCCCCTTACTTTTATTTTGGAAAGACAAAATGGCTGAAGGCCACAGCTGTTGATTTATTCAGATGCCGAAGGAAACCATTAGCCCATTGGACCCTGAAGATGAGATTCCTTTGTGCTAAATGTTAATATAAGGAAATCCCAAACAGGGGCTGCCAAAGGGACATAATACAAATGCAAAACACCAAATGTACCTAGAAAGGAAGGAGGTAGATGGTTGTTTATTAGAGAAGAGAAAAAAGAATCCAGTGAAAAGCACAGTTTCCTTTTTTTCTCCTTCTTAAGTACAGTGTGATTTACAAACTGTGGGATGAAAACTCCTCTGTTCAAATCAAACAGAATATCTTTGAAACACACAGCTACACATATGGTTCTATGTTAACGACTGCATGTCCATGTGAACTGGTTTTTATCAGCATAATGCAGATGGAGCTGCTCCACACACTCCCTGCTGTTTGCAGCTTTGTTTTAATTAGTTGTAATAACCCAGTATAAATGAATTGCATCCTCAGAAGAGAGGTCAAAGAAAAAACATAATAGCTGTCATCAGGGTAAGACAACTCTTCTTTCAGATTGCTGCTGTAATGGTCTCATGGCAGAAACATGATTAATCATTGCCTATACTTAGCCTGAATTTCACAAATGTCTCCCTCTCCCCCAGCTCTTTTCTTTCAAGATTCAACAGTTACAAGTATTTTATTTCATACCTGTGCAGGAGTGACATTTCTGATACTTCATTCAGAACTTTAAAAATATTTAGTACGGGACAAGCTGTCATCTACAACAATGTTTAAATCAACATGGGGTCCTGTTTGAAGAATGAATTTTTATATGTCACAATGAGACTACAGAACTGAAACTTGTCCTGGCTCCCTGTCTTATTGTCAGCCCAGTGAAATGGAGCTTTTGGCATGTAGCAAAGAAATGACATGAGGAAAAGGAACAGTACTCACTAGTCAAGGCTGAACTGATTATAGCAAAGAAAACATGATTGACTGAGGAGGTTGATAATAATAGATGAAATAGACCAAGAGTGGTTGAAGCGAAGGACTGAGGAATTTGTTTCCGCTGGTTGATGTTCCTCCACTTTTCCAACTAAGATTTTAACCAATAAAAAACAAATCATGTTTGTGGTGTTGTCACAACAGTTTCCAGTTAAATCAGGATAAACTTCCAGTGTCCATAATTTCCCTCATTTTGGTTGGTTGCTTGCCAAATGAGTGAGACTACAAAATATAGTTGGCTTACAAAGTAATTTGCAGTTATTTGCAGACCACTACTTATAGAGTTCTTATAGATCAGCATTGACCCACATACCATGGTTTGAAAAATATGCCACTAGAACTTGATTATTTCAGCAGCCTGAAAAATGGCCCCACAAATTCCTTAGTATCACTGGCTGTATTCAGGTGATCCTTGCTGTGTCCACCTGGTGACAGTTTTTCACTGTCCTTTAGCAATCATCTGCAAGACAGAGTTTGACCGGTTGCTCTTGACCAGGCTGGAGGGAGCTGTGCTGTACCCAAAGGGTCCAGCCTGTGACCCTGTGGAGCTGCTAAGATTTCCCTAATGGAGAGTCTGCAGCAGGTAGGAAGAACAGGAAAAACCAAGTTTGCTTTGCTTCTTTGAATAATGATAGAATCTGAGAATCATTAAAGTTGGTAAAGACCCCCAAGATCATTGAGGCCAGCCTGTGACTGGACACCACCATGCCAAGTAAACCAAAGCACTGAGTGCCACATCCAGTCTTCCTTGAGGACTTCCAGGGATGGTGACTTCACAACCTCCCTGGTGGCCCCTTCCAGTGCCTGACAACGCTTTCACTGATGAAATTCTTCCTGATGTCAGTCTGAACATCCCCTGCACAGCTTGAGGCCATTTCCTTTTGTTCTGTCCACCCCCCACCTGGCTGTCCCCTCCTGTCAGGGAGCTGTGCAGAGCCAGAATATTCCCCCTGCGCCTCCTTTTCTCCAGGCTGAGCCCCTTTCCCAGCTCCCTCAGCTGCTCCCTTGTGCTCCAGACCCTTCCCCAGCTCCATTCCCTTCTCTGGACATGCTCTATGTAACCACCTCCACAACAGGTTAAAAAAAAAATAGATTCAATATTAGTATGCAACCTTCTTTTTCCCCTTGCTTGAAAATCTGCATTTTGATAAAATTTTTAATTACAAAAAAACCCTGTTCTGTGGCTTTTTATTTTCTCCCTTATTTTTTTTTTTAGTAAGAGTCCTGTCTCCTTCTGTGGAATAAACAGATTCACTCTTCACTGATTATGCAGTGAAGGGAAAAGTACTGTGTGCGTTGAATGAATATTTTCCCGGTTTGTATGTTTTTAAATGAAATATATCTGCTGCTGCTTCAAACCAGCAGAGGGAGTTTGCTCATCCAAATAATTTTTAAACTTCTCAACACAATCCAATTTTTTCAGTACTGTTGTTATCTGGCAAGAACTGCTGCTGAAAAGAAAAGGTGAGATTTTACCATCCAGACTGTTTAACTCCTTTGTGCTAGAGGCTGCTTGCTTGCAGTCAATGGATGACAGATGTTATTGTGCAGGAAGTTGCTGCAACGAAAAATGCATTAGAGAACTAAAAACATGAACAATCAATTCAGCTGGAATCTTTGGGAGAAAACTATTTGGTTAAAGGGGAATGTACAATTATTGCAGTGCATGTGTCACTCAAAAGTGCATGAAACCACTGTGTGATAACAGCTGACAAACTTTTTTTTTTTTTTGGAAAAAAAAACCAAGTCAGTTCCTTTATTTTTTGCACTCTAGAGAGAAGCTTTGAAAGTTCCTGGTTTAGGTTTCTTTATTTGGAAATAGTGGAGTAATTTTAAGACGACCACAGTGGCAAAAAAGGTCAAGTGAAATGTTCACTGTAGCAGTACTAGGGAAAGAGTTTCATTATTACTATTTTTTTGTTTGTTTGTTTTTTGGTTTTTTTGTGAGAGAAAAGAAATCAGCTCTAGTGGTGACAAATTGTATCATTCTTATCTTGTGTTATAAACCTGCATAGCAGGAACTATACTACGATCTGTCTTGTAAAATAAAGTTATAGCAGTTACTGGTGTTAACAGTGGATGTTATCTTGATCTGCAAGTATGTCACAACTCTTTCTCTCTCAAAAGCAAGGTAGAAATTCAGATATTCCATTAAGCTCAATCATAAAACACTTAAAATGCTAATCTTTCATTTTAAAAAGTTTTCTTGAACAAATTTGTGAGATGATTGTGCTATTTTTGGGAACCTAATTGGATTTGAAAATACTCTGAACCAAATATGCACTTTTATAATTCCATAGAGTCAGAATATCAGTTCTCTACACATGGAACTGAAAAGAAGGTTGGAATAAAAAGCAAGAGCCAGAGTTCTCTGTACATCTGTCTGAATATGAGTAAAACTGTTTTCAAAGGACTGCATAAACACCAATTATTGACTAATATTCAAGGGAAAATGGCTCATTACAATTTCAGCTTTTACTGAAGTGGAAAGTGAGGAAGGAACTCATTGTAGGTGATTTAGAAGGCAATTTTCAGTAAATAAGCATTTAGCACATCTCACCAGACACAGAGCATAGAGAAAAGAAATGAAGCAGTCACATGATTTAACAGTCTAGTGAAAATAGTCAATAGCCTGGCACAGATGTGTTTTCTTTCCATGTATTACAATTGCCAGCCCATATGAGATTGCTAAATACAGGTCCCCATGCTGCTCTGAGTCCCACATGAGCAGTCTCTTGCACTTCTGCAAACCTCAGTGCTGTGAAGTCTTGTCAGACTCAGCAAAGCGTGGGGCAGACACAGCTGCCAGTGCCACACACCTCACAGGGCGCAGCCCAGCTCTACACAGAACACTGCTCAGGCTGCTGGGGATGGATTCAGCAGCATTGCAGGCACTCACCCACAGAGAAAGACTTGGGCTCAGCAGTCTCCCACAGGGGCTCCCTCAGGAGCCATCCCATTTCTGCCTCACTGGTGCTGGAAAGAGGACGGAGGCTGAAGCACAGGACCAGCAGATGCTGGTGCTTTATCATCAGAGCAGATGGCTCGGAATAAAACTCAGGTTTTGTACTCAGGCTGCTAAGAATCTTTAAGCCAGGCCTGGCCAGAGTTATCAAGGCATGTCGAAATAAAACAGAATTTCACAAAGCCATTATCCTACCTGTGCACAGCGTAAGAACCAGGGCTTTGCTCTCCAGCCTATTCTAGGCTGAAGGGAGGGGCAAAGGCAGCTTTATGTCAGCATGAGTGAATATGAACTGGAATGAGATTTGGCCAGCTTCCAGAAAGAAGGCTACATGGAGCTCCCTCAATGCTCCATAAACATGTACACTATTGATATTTTATTTCTTACCTCTTGTTCATGCACACTTAGCTTTGTGGCAGAGTTTAAAAAAAGTAAAAACTGCTACATCAGATAAAATTTATAATTCCTCTTATCCTTTATCCTTCTTTTTTAGCATGTAGCTCTACGAAGGAAGTGGAAAAAAGTGATACATTAGACAGATGAGGATAATTCATTCTCATGGGAGTTTAATTTCTGAATTTTTATTGGAAGAGACTTCAAACTCTAAGGCTGATGTTTCCTTTCTATCCCAAACCTCCTCTTCTTATTAAGTACTTTAAACCTTGGGGTGCAGGAGGGTTGTAAATTTTCCTTTTAAAGGTATCATCATGGGGCCATTTATCAGCAAACACTGCACCTGCTTCAAGGAAATTCTGACTATGACTTGTACATTCTCAGTGCTGCAGTTGAAAAAAATGGAAG